GGTGTTGCCCCGTTACATTCTTTTGTCATTTCCAAGGAGCAAATCTCTAGGGCCGCAGGCCCCCCGCCGAACGCTTTAGTTTACTCAAATATGCACCTGTAACGTCCGTTTGCACCTCCAGGATGATCCTGGAGTCGTCATAGAGCACCTCGTGAGGTCGGGGTTGAATTTTGCGTCCCCGAAAACCGAAAACCCCCATCTACACCACGTTTCAAAAGATGGGGTCATCGGCAACCTCTCAAGGGAGGTGCAAATGGATGTCGAGAATCTATGCAGCGTCCCCAAAAACCCCCGGATGCCAGTCTTCTTGCACTTAAGGTGAGCTTTAGGATTACAGAGTACTACTCAGTGTTGCGCCAGCGGAAAAGAGCTGAACATACGGCGCAACTCTGAGAGGGGGCACTGTATAATAGACCATGTTAGTATCGGTGACAGAGAAGAAGAAAAGAATAACCGAAACAGAAAACAGTTGGGTGAGGGCGAAGAGGGGTGGAGGGTGAGAGGCGATTAGAAGGCCGTGCTTTTCCGGTTTTATTCTTTTCTTCTTCTCATCACCTAACCTGAAATGGTCCATTAGCACATAACTTGAATGTGTTAAGTTACAGACCCCTGCTTAGCTGTCCTTCCCCACCTACCTAGGTGCGTCTCCGTCGTGAAATATTTCCGGATGGTGGTGTGCGCCGGTGAAGCCCAGGTAGTGGAAAAAGAAACTGTGCGCCACCAAGACGTATATCCACATGAAGGTTGCAGAGAGGACTGACGAACCACCCAGAATTACCATAGCCGTTAAGAAAAGTAGTGGCAACAAGTCCTCGACTCGCATGTGTGTCAATCTAGGAAAAACCGTAAAAAAGAATTTCATTAAACTGTTGTATTAAAAGTCCGCTCGATTAGCTTTTACAAAGCGGAAGAGCGCTCTAATAAACCATATTTTGAGCCATTATTCGTCTCTCAACTATCTAACTATCTCAACTATCTACGGTATTTTACGATATCTACGGATAATATCTACGATATTTTCCGACATTCAAAGACTTACGACATTTCTCGTAACTTTATGGAAATTTTCGTATTCTTACGGAGGTAGAGTCATAACTTTACGATGAATTTCGTACTTTTCTGGAAAATGTCATAACTTACTGAAAAATTTCGTAAATAGTCTCTATTTTTGCGATTCGTAATTTTATGACTTTCGTTCCCTTAAGAAAATGTTGTATTCTTACAACAATTTACCGATATATAAAGTGTGCAACTGACACACACTTTAAAGTGTTTAACACCGTGTGGCATACGTCTATGTGTCCAACACGAGTTTTGAGTAGTTGGAAGTGTTCAACAGGTGTGTTGCACACTTTTTAGCCCGCCCTTCTCCTTTGAAAAAGCTATCCAGCGGGCTTATGCAAACGACCTCGTGTCTGTCTGTCTGTCTGTCTGTCTGTGTGTCTGTCTGTCTGTTCCACTAGAAGGAGATGTGCTAGAGACTTGAAATTTTCAGGGCATCTTAAGGTTCACTCCTAGAGAACGAAACGCCTACGGCAAATCCTGGCAACCAACCCTAAGGCGCTGTAAGGGGGTATCAAAGAAAAGGGGGTAGGTCAAAAAAGTCAGGAAAAAATAATTTTTTTATGAGCTACTAAGGGGTAACTCGTCAAAGTAGAGCCCTTTGGGCGAAAATTTCGTCCGTTTTGCTCTATCTTTTACCGTTTGGGCGCTAGAGGGAGTGTCTCTCACAAAAGTGGCCCAAAAATAAATTTATTAATTTCCGAAAATATTGAATGGTCGCCTAAGGGGTAACTTGTTAAAGTAGAGCCCTTTGGACAAAAATTTCGTCCGTTTGGCTCTATCTCTAACCGTTTAGGCGCTAGAGGGTCTTGTTTGACGATTAAAAGTTATAAATTGCTGTAGTGAAAAATTAAATGTAAAAGAAGGCCCAGAACCGCAAAAGAGGGAGGAAACTCCCTCCCCCCACCCCAAAAAACGTTTTCTAAGCAGAAGGGTGGGTTGTAGTCGCGGTGTTTCACCGTTACATCCCTTTCTCGTGTCTACGGGGCAAATTGTAAGGACGACGGGCTTTGCGGGCCGAAGGCCCGTTACATCATTTGATTATGTTCTACAGCAAATCGCGTGACAGAAACGGTCGGGCCGCAGGCCCGACCATCGCCGCCGGCAGGCCAAGCAGGCCTGGCCCCTGCCGAACGGAGTTGCCGGCGCAGCGAAGCGAAGCTGGCAACTTCGTTTGGCGGAAGGGCGGGCCTGCTTGTTAGTGTTCTACTTGAGCGTTAAGCTATAGTGCTCGACGGTCAGGTTGAACATTATAAAGTGTGCAACACACCTGTTGAACACTTCCAACTATTCAAAACTCGTGCTGCACACATGGAAGTATGCCACACGATGTTAAACACTTTAAAGTGTGTGTCAGTTGCACACTTTATATATCAGTGAAAGAATCAGAAGTAGAAATTACAAAATTTGTTGTAAATTTACTTCTTATAATTCGTAACTTTACAAATCAATATCGTAGTCATAAATTATAAAATCTGTCGTAGATTGAGGAACAGTTTTCTCACTGTGAACGGAGTTGCCGACGGAGCGAAGTAAAGCTGGTAACTTCATTTGGCGGAAGGGTGGGCCTGCTTGTTGATATAAGTGTCAAACGCGAGTATACGTCATATTCTCGACCAGCTGGAGTGCCTATTGCGAAAGATCGAGATTATGTTAGGGTAATTATGACTAAATCGACATAAAATGTAGTGAAACTGCCAAATATGGTTCTTGACTGCCCTGTATAACCAAGTATGGTCCTCAATCAGCCCTTAAATGTTCCTTACTTGACAAGACCGCCAAATCAGTTTCTATTATCATTGCATCGAAGCTGCTTGCAGAACTCGACCTAAGAAGAACTTAACCTGACATGTTATATCAATCCACGTTTGAAACGTGTTCTCTGGGCCTTTCACTAAACATATATTCCTGGGTCGACGCGAATTTACGCCTGAATACGAAATAATCTCAATTTGATCTTGAGCAAACCATTACAATGTCTCACGTCCTAAACGATGAATGTTAATGTTCAACTTGGCCGCGCGGGCGGCTCCGGCCAGGACGAGACAATGGTAATTTCTGGTAGTAAACGACAAGCCTTTTCACCCCAAAAATGGAAACTGTGACATTCTAGCGAGGGAGCAAGTATTGGTCTTGTTGATCCCTATTAGGCACTGATCCGAAAAGTTCAGTTTCTACAACAATGCAAATTTTGTTCAAAACATAAAATATGCAGAGCTGAGGACTAGGCACTGGTTAGCGTAGCCGATGAGCGACGCTCGGGCCGGGCTCTTCTATGACCTCACGCATGGATTACTATCTCTTTCCTAAATGCTGCTTGAAGCCTCGTAAAAGTACGACAAAAATATACCATTAGTGATAATGGTCTGTGCACACCTGTAAGGTATCTTGCTTGGAAGCATGATGCATGCAGACACTGTGAAGGCAACGGCTGCCCCCAGCATGGAAAGAGTCTTCTTTGTTTTAGTCGGGAAGTACTCCAGTAGAGGTTCCAGCATGCTAATCTCCATGTCCAGCTGCGTGTTTGGGTACTGGTGGTGGGATAGGATGTGGCTTATTCGCCAGTCTCTGCAACAATTTTTACGTTCACTCATGTGGAACAAAAATTATAAAAAAAAACAGATATTTTCTACGATTACAATGAAGACGAAGAATAACGTCTGCTCCCGGACCATTACAAATCATCAGCAAAGTAGAGGATTTTATTCCAGAGCCAAACACGACCTATTTCCCATCTGACTGGTCGAGGGTTTTTGATGGTCTGTGACCTAGGGCGTTGCAGCGAACCTAAACTGTTTTCGCTGATTTTTAGACCGCTCTTTTGCTTAAAAGCTATAGAAGCGGGCTAACGCCATCGCCCTTGTGTCTGTCTGTCTATCTGTCCGTCTGTCCGTTCCCCAAAGAGGACGTGAGCTAGAGGTCTGAAATTTTCAGGGTATTATTGTTGTCACTTCTGGACAACGAAACGGTTGGTGCAAATCCTGGCAACCACCCCTGAGTAGGTCTTAGGGGGTAACAAAAAAATGGGGGTGGTCCAAAAAGTGGTAAGAAATATTTTTTTTTATTGTCTCCTAAGGGGTAACTTACGAAAGTAGGTCCCTTAGAACGAAAATTTTGTCCGTTTGGCTCTATCTCTCACTGTTAAGGCGTTAGAGGAAGTTTCTCTAACAAAAGCGGCCCAAAAGTAAATACATTAATTTTAGAAAATATTGTATGGTCACTTAAGGCATATCTCATGAAAGTAAAGCCCTATGAGCCCCATGGCTCTATCTCTCACCGTTTAGGCGCTAGAGGGAGTTTTACTCACAAAAGTGGCCCAAAAGTAAAAACATTAATTTTGGAAAATAAATGATGGTCTCATAGGAGGAAAATTACGGAAGTAGATCTCTTCTGGACGAAAATTTTGTCCGTTTGGCTCTATCTCTCACCGTTCAGGCGCTAGAGGGAGTTTTACTCACAAAAAGGGCCCAAAAA